TGGTAATTTGACCAGCCTCTAAAATAAGTATAGCACAATAAAATTCATAACCTTTTCAAAACAAGTTGGATGATGTCAAACTTTATATCAAAGTTGTAGAGCTCAAAGAGATCTACAAATTTATAGTTGACGACTTCCATTTCGAGTTATTTATGGTCAAAAAATCTGTTTTAACTTCTTAGATTTTGAAATTCATTGTTTCTTTAAATTTTTAAACAACCTTGGATGGAGACATGCCCTAAACCAAAGTTGTAGTAGTGCTCCTACTGAACGAGATCAAAATCTTTTCAATTTAAACTTTTCCCATTTAAAGTAATCTAGGGTCTCAGATATTTATTATAATATTTACTAAAGTGAATACACAAGGATAGTATTATCCACTTGGTCACAAGTAACGCTGATGTGAAGTGGTAAGGAAGCAACACATGTGAGCCCAACAGTATTGAGTTTGCTCCTCACGGTCACATGCGTATTTTGTGCGAAAACACGTGAGACCAACAACGGTCTGCACAGTGTTTGGTTCAGTTCCATGTAACGTAATTTGTTTACAGCGTGAAGTGTTTGCGATAAATCGTGTTTGTTTTTATCTCCGCCGCAATCCGCGTAATTGGATACCCTGTTATACAAAAATGATACCGCTGCCGTCCGCGCGTAATCGCCTCCGGATAGACCATCGTCTTTTTGCGGCCTCAGCCAAGCGCCGCACGGCCCGCACCGCCGTCACCCCCTAATGCCTCCAATGGTAGCTTCTGGGTTTCCATTTACATTACAGCATCGAACCAAACAAATCTAGTAATTTGTTATTTTGTTACCGATAGCACTGGGGCCTTGTTTAGATTGAAAAAAATTTCAAACTGATGAATAGTAGCACTTTCGTCTTATTTGGTAAATATTGTTCAATCGTGGACCAACTAAGCTCAAAAGATTCATCTCGTGATTTCCAACTAAACTGTGCAATTAGTTATTTTTTTACTTACATTTAATGCTTCATGCAAACGGCTAAAAATTGATGTGATGAAGAGAGAGTGAAAAAACTTGGAATTTTGAGGGTATCTAAACAAGGCCTGGGTTTCCATTGCATTTACATTTGTGTTACCATTTCTGAACCAAACAGCACGTGAGTTCGATCCCCGCGGATGCATGTGTATTTTGCATGAAAATCCTATGACTTCTAGCTTGCGACCACAAGTGGGTCACCTCGTGGGCTTCTTTCAGGATCATTTTTTATTTGGTGGGCCCAATTTTAAATTATGTAAAACTATTTTTAGAGGCGATCGAAATCCAACAGCCTCTAGCTAGAAATAGATTTATATGGGTTACTGGATTTCAATCCACCCCTAGAAATCGATTTCTATGGGTGGCTTGATACCTACCTCAAGAAATCAACAATTTCTAGAGACACATGGATAGAGGGCGAGCCAACTGCCTCTAGAAATTATTTTTGACCGATTATAAAAACAGATTATGGCATAGTGCAAGCAACTCCAAATCAACATTTTTTTGGAGTTAGATTGGATATGAGGCAGTATCTATTGGGTATTAATAATGATAAGACCTAGTTTTGTGATCCATGACACCAAGTCCACATCTTCCACGAGCTAGGAATACCCGGCTCTGATGAGAAATCTACAGATGTTTTGAAGCTAGAGTTCATCTCCAAGAGTCCCAAAACAATATCTCAATCCTTGATATTTTGGCAAGATCGAAAAAAAACACATCTCAAACAAACTCCCAACCCCACCTCCCAATCTTTTTTAGCACTTGCAAAAATCGACCCCATCGGGAAAAGGATGTGAGAAAGAATATGAAGTAGGATAGGGTTCCTGATATAAATGTACAAGAGAAAAAAAAAATAAAACAGTTGTTGGGATGATTTAGAAATAGTTCGGGATTCATAATATAAAATTACCTTCTATCTTTTATGAGATTTTGGAAAGTGTTGGATCAAGCCAACAAATATGCTCCCAACTTTTTTTTAGTCACTTGGAAAACTCATTAGTTTACCAAGTGGTTTTTTAGAATTTGTTGGAGATGCTCTAAATAGAGCCCAAATAAAAATATCTGCTGCCAGTAATTGGGGTAGGAGGTAGTACCTACTCTATTTGATATTCGTCAATAATGACGGAACCTAGCTTTATGCCAAGAACAAGATTAATTGAACCAAATGGTCTATATATATGGTTCCTTTCTCCCTATATGTGAGATGTGATTTCGACCTTCTAGAAGAAATTAAACATGTGCTCTTCAAATTTCCACATCAAACAAACAAGTGCAACCATCCACTACTGATCCATCAAAATCTTTCTTGGATTGGATTGATCATCACCTAGTATTAAACAATGAAATTCAACACGTTCCTGTTGATGATCTAATTCCAAACTACTATATGGTGCGCATTCTTATATCTATCAATTGCTTTCCACATCTCTTGAAATAAAGTGGCGGCATTTTTTGTGTCCACAAAGCTTTTTAGGTTTGTGATTGAACAGCGAAGCAACACAAAAATGGATTCAAGCTTAGGATAACGTCTCCCTTTCACATGTGTTGGACTGGTCAAGAGAACACCAAGCACTAAAGCTAGCTTGTTATCTGAACCTCGGCACACATCATATCAAACTTGAAAGGGATACATGCATTATATATTCCCTTTAGTTTATGGATAGATGACCTGAACAAAACTAATGTTCTCATCACCCATTATTTACACGTTGCTTTTGCGAAATGTGGTGGCAACGTAACACAAACCGTCATCACATGGTGTCGCCCAATAGCAGTGGTACAAGGAGAGAATGGTCTTTTCAGAAACTGATGGGACCAAACTATATAACCCCTCTTCCAAAAGTGAACAAGATCAAACGACAAAGATCTCGTTTAGTAAAAGTAGAATTTTAGTAGTAAGCAAGCATGGATTGACGTATGCGTGTCTCCAATTTGATTGCTAGTCAAGCGTCTCTAACCACTACAAGCATCTCAGTTAAGTCTAGCAAGATAAAGTAGACAGAGATTAGAGATAGACGAGTTACTTAATCATCAGGATTAGGTCTTGTCTGAATCTGAATGCAGGAATTCCATGAAAAACAAAAAAGTTCAATTTCCGTATAAATGGAAGAAAGTTGTCCTTGTATTAACCTCTGGCCTAATTTAGGTTCTAATCAAATGATTACCATGCATAGCCTCAATTATTCACTAAATACAACTTTACTGAAAAAGGTTCCAATCTAGCAAAGGCGCAGGCAGCATTGCCATCTGAATGGCTTATCTATACACTTTGCTTTCACTCGCCTTTATGCAAGAAAAAGAAATACTACTATACTACATAGTATTTGTTAAAAATCTAAACTGTCCCACCACCCCCTCAAAAGCATACACGACCGCATAATTTGCACTCCAAGAACGCCTTTCTGAAGGTCCATATAGTCATCATTGCTAATGCTCCGCAGTATGATGAGGGTGTAGATCAGAATGTGTACAACTATGCAGTAGGAGTGTGTGTGTGTGTGTGTGTATATATATATATATATATATATATATATATATATATATATATATATATATTCACAAAGCAACTAGCAATACTCTAGTTTTGTGTTTCTGACACATGTCATATTCCAATTGTGCTGCTTTTTTCTTCTTTATATTATCCAGAGCCTGTTCGCTTGCTCGTAAACGATCGTAAATTTTCAGCCGGAAACAGTATTTTTCTCTCACACCAAACTAGCCAGCAGTAAATAATCCACGATACGATACGGCCTCCCGAACAGGCTGCTTGATTTTCCAGCTGTTGTTCTTGTTTACTGCAAGATAAGGGCAACTAACGTGATGCTGATGCCTTGGGTTAATGTAAGACAAAAAGACGGCAAAAAGTGACATTAGCTAATATGCAACCAGAGTGTGGCAACTCCAAAAGGTCTCACGATAAGGGTGACTGTTGATTACTCCCTACATTAAAAAATAATGACATCTTTTATCTAGAAATGATCAAATTTGTGAACTCTAATTAATGATTTTTTAAACTAAGTTTATTAATCCGTGTACTTACAGGGCTACAATTTTAAGAGACACGAGTTTAGAAGTTTGTGAAAATTTTAGGGCCTACTCTGTGCATCCAATTAAATTTTTTATCTTTATAGTTTCTGTCCCTTTTAACATAATAATCATATATATAATCTGTAATCTATATTCTAGTTGATATAAACTCCAGTTACCATTTTTTTCTATGTTTTATTTATATTGATTTTTTTCATGGATTAGCCATCTACGAGAGAGAGAAAAGAGACTATGGTCATAAAAAACATGGATTTGCTAAGAATAAAAGGGCAGCTAAAGTAATTCCCCATTTTACCCTTTGTGGACGGAATGATGGATGTCTCGGGAGCCGCGAAGGCAGAAAAAAAGGGGGGAAAGAAAAAGGAAGGCAAATAAACAAAGCAGCAAGGAGGCCGAAAGCGAGCGAGAGACGCACACAACAGTGACACCACCACAAGCAAGGAGAGGCAGCAGAGCAGACCATAGAGAGTGGAGAGCAGCCAGCAGCAGCAAGGCTGAGCCGCCGTCAGCTGAGAGCTAGAGCATCCGCCAGTCCCAGTCCGTGGCGGCGGCAGCTAGCGACAAGGCTGAATCCGAGAGGAGCGCGCGCCGCAGCCGCCGTGGCTGCCGCCGCCGCCGCCAACGCCGCCGCTTGTGAGAGGCGCTCGACTTGTATTCCCGAGGAGGGCGACGACCCCCGCGCGGCAAAGGAGCTGACCACTGGCCCCGCCCTGTGATGGCTGCTGCCCGTGCCCCGGCGGCGAGGGGACGCGTAGGTGCTCCGGAGGCGACGGCGTGGAGGGGCGGCGGTCTCCGCGCGAAGCAGGCCGGGCGCGCCAGCTGCCGCGGCGCCTAGAGCGAGCGCCTGGACGCGGTCTCTCTCGCAGTCCGAGTCGGAGCTAGGGTTTTGGCGCGGAGGGAGCGCCGGGGTTCTGGTTCTAGCGGAGCGGCTGGTGGAAGGGGGGAAACGGGAGATGGCGGTCGGGGACGCGCTGCGACGGCTGTGCGAGGAGATTGGGTGGTCCTACGCCGTCTTCTGGAAGGCCATCGGCGCCGCCGACCCTGTGTAAGCCGCCGCCTCCACTGTTTCCTCAGATTTTTCTTTGGTGTTTAAGCTCATCCTCCCTCTGAATCTTGTAAAAATCTAAGCTTTTTTTTTGTCATTGTGCTCATTTTTCTTCGTTGGTGTCCTCCTGCTCGTTCTCGTAAGAAAGCTTTTTTTTTTTGTCTTTGTGCTCATTCAGTCATTCTTTTTCCAAAGTGTCAAGTTTTCGTTGCTACTCTGTTCTGGAAGCTCGAAGTTTCGAAGATGGGAATATCTGAGCTCAAAATCGAACAATTTCCTGCAAATTTCAGATTCCTAAGGTTGAATAATTGGGGGCGGGCTCTGAGCTTAGCTGCCGCGGCTCATTTTCCTGTCATCCAATCTCATTTCCCCCTTGAAATGCGCAGGCATTTGGTGCGGGAGGACGGCTACTGTGGCCACACGTCATGCCCTGTCGGATCTGAGCCTTCTGAATCTCTGCCCAGCGACGCCGCCGGGTGCTCTGTTCCTGCTGCTGACACCATCTGCTCGCTTGTTAACAACGTTATGGCGTCACAGGTTCATGTCGTCGGACAAGGGTAAGCAAAAGCAGCCGCACCCAGCCATTTCTTTCTCTTATTTACTCCTCCCCGCATTTTTTGGGTTAGACAGAATCTTCACCTTCTTGGTTTGGCCACTCCATCTTCTTGCTCCTAGGTTGCTCCTTGGATTATCGGATTCATGGCGGCTATACCCTGTGTTTTGTTTTGGCAGGATCGTAGGCCGTGCCGCGTTCAGTGGCAATCACCAATGGATCGTCCACGGTACTGCCAATGGTCACGGGCTCTCCTCCGAGGTACGGCCAGTACTGAGTGCTTCGCCCCTTCTGAATTCTCCAGGGCTTGTTTACATGACATCAAACTTCCAAGTTTTTTTACTCTCTCCATCGCATCAATTTTTGAATGCATGCATAGAGCATTAAATGTAAGTAAAAAAAGTAACTAATTGTATGGTTTGTTTGTAAATCACGAGACGAATCTTTTGAGCCTAGTTAATTTATGATCAGACAAAGTTTGTCAAATACAAACGAAATGTGCTATAGTGTCCAAATTGCAAAATTTTGCAATCTAAACATGGCCCCAGTGAAATAAATGAGAACCCAATTTCAGTTTTGTCTGGTTCCATTTTGCTGCCACCTCATTTAAAGCAGTGTGGGGGTACTTTAACTTTTGTCAGTTAGCGACCTGTTTTAATTTTGGTCTGCTCACACTGGACCAAAAATAGTGGCAAATGACGCAAGCACCTGTTGTAAATTATGATTGTGAAAAAAAAGAGAGAAGATCTTACTCCAAGTTTGTCTTTAACTATATTCTATCCAATTGGGTGTTGTGTTTTCTTAACCCGGGTTTCAAGATCTTACACCATGTTTACCAATTTCATAGGTTGCTGCTGAGATGAACAATCAGTTCAGAGTTGGCATCCAGGTGGGTAGAACTGAAATGGTAAAAGGTATATAGTCGCCATGTGCTTCTGGACCTCATTCTGAACTTTTGCTGTGCAGACTATTGCGATCATTCCTGTGCTGCCACGGGGTGTCCTACAATTAGGCTCTACTGGTTTGGTAAGGCCACAAAGCTCTAGATCATGCTAGAAAAGTAGAGAAATTGTTGAATTATTCGTCAAAGTTGTTGAACGCTATCAGTTTAAATTTCTATGTAAAGAATATAACTATCACACTAGGCTATGGAAAAGTAATTCTCCATCTATGGATGGTTGTGGAAGGTGGGAAAAAAACAATAGTTCATTGCTGAATGAGTACATGTCATTAAAAATTTTGGATATGGAAACTACAAGACACGATGTTTGGGCCATGCTGGTCCAAATCTGAAAACCTATCTTTATGCTACTGCAAATTTCATAATGTCATTGCAAATTCATGGTGAAATTCATGACATACATCTCTCGTATCCTCATTCCTGATGGAACCTCTAGAAACCTTACAACTACAACAACAACATAGCCTTTCAATCACAAATAAGTTGGGGTAGGTTAGAGTTGAAACCCACCAAGAGCCCCAAGTCACGGTTCAGACACTTCAATAGCTGCTTTCCAAGCACCCCTATTCAAACATAGATCTCTAGGTATATCCTAAACTTTCAAATCTCTTTTTATTGCCTTCCCCTATGTCAATTTCGGTCTTACTTTACCTCTTCTCATATTATTAGCTTGGCTTATGACTCCACAATGCACTGATGCCTCTGGAGGTATCCTTGGGTCATGGCCAAACCACCTCAACCAATGTTGGACAAGCCTTTTTTCAATTGGTGCTACCTTTAGGCGATCACGTGTATCATCGTTCCGAACTCGGTCCATTCTTGTGTGACCACAGATCCATCGCAACATATGCATTTCTGCAACACTTAGTTGTTGAACATGTCGAATTTTTGTAGGCCAATATTCTGCTCCATACAACATAGCTGGTCTAATCGCCGTTCTATAAAACTCATCTTTTAGTTTTTGTGGCACCCTCTTGTCACAGAGAATGCTAGAAGCTTGTCGCCATTTGATCCACCCTGCTTTGATTCTATGGCTAACGTCCGCATCAATATCTTCATTCCTCTGTAGCATCGATTCCAGATACCAAAAGGTATCCTTCTTAGGCACTACTAACCTTCCAAACTCACATCTCCCTGTTCCTGTGCAGCTCTGCCAAAGTCGTATCTCATGTATTCGATTTAGTTCTGCTCAATCTAAAATCTTTAAACTCAAGGGTCTGCCACAATAACTCTAGTTTCCTATTTACTCCCGCCTGTCTTTCGTCCACTAACACTACATCATCAGCGAACGACATACAACAAGGGATATCCTCTTGTATGTTCCTGGTAACCTCATCCATTACCTAGGCAAAGAGATACGGGCTTAAGGTTGACCCTTGATGAAGTCCAATTTTAATCGGGAAGTAATTTGTGTTACCATCGTTTGTTCGAACACTAGTCACAATATTGTTGTACATGTCCTTAATGAGGGTCACGTACTTTGATGGGACTTTATATTTGTCCAAAGTCCACCACATAATATTTCTTGGTATCTTGTCATAAGCCATCTCTAAGTCAATGAAAACCATGTGGAGGTTATTCTTGTGCTCTCTAAACCGCTCCATAACTTGTCTTATTAAGAAGATTGCTTCTGTGGTTGACCTTCCGAGCATGAATCCAAATTGGTTTGTTGATATCTGCGTCGTTTCTCGCAGGCGCTGCTCGATGACTCTCCCATAACTTCATAGTGTGGCTCATCAACTTAATTTTCTGATAAATAGTACAACTTTGGATATCTCCCTTGTTCTTGTAGATTGGTACCAATATGCTTCTTCTCCACTTCTCGGGCATCTTGTTCGATTGGAAGATATTGTTGAACATCTTGGTTAGCCATACTATAGCTATATCTCCGAGACATCTCCACACCTTGATTGGGATACCATTAGGTCCCATCGCTTTGCCCCTTTTCAAGGCTTCTCTGATCTCCAATTTTTGAATCCTCCGCATAAAGCGCCTGTTAGTGTCATCAAACGAGTCGTCCAGCTAAACGGTGGTGTTCTCGTTCTCCCCAAAATACTCTTGCCATCTATGTCAGATCTCATCCTCCTTCACCAAGAGCTGCTCCCTCTCATGCTTTATGCACTTGATTTGGTTGAAGTCTCTTGTCTTCCTATCGCGAGCCCTAGCCATCCTATAAATGTCCTTATCTTCTTCCTTCGTACTCAAACGTTGGTAAATGTCCTCATAGGCCTATCCCTTTTGCCTCACTCACCGCTCGTTTTGCAGTCTTCTTTGCCACCTTGTACTTCTCTATGTTGTCTGCACACCTGTTATAATACAAGCGCTTATAGCACTCCTTCTTTTCCTTAATAGCCTTTTGCACATCTTCATTCCACCACCAAGTGTCTTTCGAGTCGCATCCACTCCCTTTGGTCATTCCAAGCACCTCTAAAGCAACCTTCCGAACGCATGTTGCCATCTTCTTCCACATGTTGTTTGCATCGCCTTCATTCTTCCAAGGGCCCTCTTCAATGACCTTTTCATTAAAGACCTTTGATGCCTCCATTCTAATTTCCACCACTTCGTTCTAGCAACCCTAGCTTGTTTGTTCCCATGAGCTTGCATCAGAAAGCAAAAGTCGGCCACCACCAGCTTGTGTTGAGCGACCACATATTCTCCAGGTATCATCTTACAATCCACGCATGTTCGTTTATCCCTCCTTCTTGTAAGGACAAAGTCGATTTGACTAGAGTACTGATCGCTACTAAATGTCACTAAATGGGACTGTCTCTTATGCAAGAAAGTGTTAGCTATCATCAGATCAAAAGCTATGGCGAAGTCTAAGACTTACTCTCCCTCCTGGTTCCTACTACCATGTTCGAAACCTCCATGAACCGCCTCGAAACCTGCACTTGATGTACCTACATGACCATTAAGATCACCTCATATAAAGAGCTTCTCGCTACTAGGGACAATTCTAACCAAGCGATCTAAGTCTTCCCAGAAAAGCCGCTTAGCACTCTCATCATGGCCTACTTGGGGGGCATACGCACTAATTACGTTTAAGACCATATCACCAATGACAAGTTTAACTAAGATGATCCTATCACGTTGCCTTCTCACCTCCACCACACCATTCTTGAGGCTCTTATTAATCAAAACTCCTACTCCATTTTTATTTGAAGTTGTCCCTGTGTACTAGAGCTTGAAGCCGGTATTGTCCACCTCCTTCGCTATACCCCCCTTTTTCATTTAGTCTTTTGGATGCATAAGATATTTACACGCCTCTAACATTGTGTCCACCAACTCTTTTAACTTACCTGTAAGGGACCCTACATTCCAGCTAACTAAACGGATCCTAGTTGGTTCGATTAGCTTCCTTACCCTTCGCACCCGCCGAGGTAGGTGTGAAGACCCTTCTCATTTTGCACGACACCCGGGCGCCGATGTGGCGCGCCACTAAGGATGCGACGACCCGATCCTTGCTCACTTGACACCATATCCAGATCGCGACATGGCGCGTCACGGGGGTGACGACCCGGCCCTAACACCATACCCGGGTTCCGACATGGCGCGTCGCTAAGAGGGTTACGCCCCAACGGGATTCTTTTGAGTTTCATCTGCATAAAAGTGGCTTAGTTTTTACATTGGCTCGCCGCACCTAACACAACCCTCCTCCTTTACTGTGGTTTGGGACTCGCTTTCTTTGGGACACCAAAGCGCCCACCATAGGCGGAGTTGAACATCTAGAAACCTTGGCACATAAAAATTTGCTACTATACATTGTATCCTTTTGTTGTGCTTAGTGCTGGAAATTGTTGCGAAGAACATAAAAGATCTCAAATCATTGTTTCAACTTCCCTGTGATGGTTGGTATTAGGGTTATCTTGCTTGCTCTCTAAATATTTGAAAGTGGAAATAATCAGCTGATTTATGGCAGGTTATGGAAAACACAAATTTTGTGATGTTTGCAAAGAAGTTGTGTTCTCATCTAAACAACCGTTCAAGCATGGCTGTATCTGCTTCAGCTAAGAACAGTTCAAGTCAGCATGGTCAGTCACGTCCTGATACTGCAACTGTGTCAACTGGCACACCGCCACATGCATTGCTGAATGCATCTTTGCTTAAGGTTGTGCAACAGAATGGTCACCCTGTTAGAGAGCACACTGTCTATGCTGAGCCTGATCTTCGGTTTATACAACAAGCATCCTTCTCATGAGACCCAATTTGGAAGAAATTTACGGAGTGTTGGTATGAACTCAAGTTTGACCTCCCCAAGCTTGACATCAGTTAAAAATCAGTCACTCTTGATGAACAACATTGGGCAGTTACAGTTGAATAATAATGCACATTCAACAGCAGATTTGGCAATGGCAAGAGATATCATATTAAAATCCCTTGTGTGTCATGACTCTTCTGTCTGTGAAAATACAAACATCAATATGCATCATGGAAGATATGTGGTATCCAATGATATAAATGGTCCTGGGAATTTTGATTTTCTCCCTGTAGGTGCTAGAGCAAGCAGAGCCAACTTATCTACCAGTGTATCGAGTCAAATATTGGATCACGCATCAGGAACATTGCAGCAGAAACAGTCTCTAGTTCCGTTCAAGGTTCCCCAATCTTCTGAATTGGCTAAGAAAATGGAGAATCCTGAAAGTAGGCCATTTCAAACTCCTTCAGTTCGAACTTCTGATTCTGATGGTCAGGTTTCTAACAGTTTCAACATGGACCAAGAGAATCTATTGAGTAGGTCAAACAATGTCCGACAAGACCAAAAGATTAATAGATTTAGTGATCCAAGTGCTAATGTCAGCACGCAGAGAATGAAGAACAGGGATGGATGTGAGGCAGGAATGCCCATTGAGAGAGCTTCCTCGTTGCTCGTGGAGCCTGCTGCAGATAATGACTTGTTTAATATGTTTGGTTCTGAATTTCATCAGTTCTCCCACAATGTTGGTGCTGATTTGGTCACCTGGAGTGGTACAGAGTCTCAGAATTCAGATAGAGATGTCCCTGAGTCATCAATATATCTCAATAGTTCACCCCTTTTCAGTTCACTAGACAATGAGCTTCACTATTCTGGTATCTTATCACTAACTGATACTGATCAGCTATTGGATGCTGTCATCTCAAATGTCAATCCAACTGGAAAACAGTGTACTGATGATAGTGCTTCTTGCAAGACTGCATTGACGGATGTTCCTAGCACATCTCATCTTGGTTCAGTAGACTTGAAGAGATGTGAGTCCTCCGGCATGCCTTCCATGCTAATTAAGCACGAATTGGCACAGTTTGTTAAACAGCCATGTCTCTTTGATAAATCTGAGGAGGGTTGTCTTTCCCAAAATAATGGAATGCACAAATCTCAGATACGTCTTTGGATTGAGAGCGGTCAGAACATGAAATGTGAAAGTGCTTCGGCTTCTAATAGCAAAGGTCTTGATACTCCAAGCAAGGCAAATCGCAAGAGATCTCGACAAGAAGAAAGTCCTAAGCCACGACCTAAGGACCGGCAACTTATACAGGACCGTATTAAAGAGCTACGTGAGCTTGTACCGAATGGGGCAAAGGTATGCTCTTGCATGAATTCTCTGATGATAATTTGAAAGTTTTAATCATATATCTTATCTGCAAACTATCTACAATAGTGTACTAACAATTGCAAATTTATGTCAATAGTGTAGCATTGATGGTTTGTTGGAGAAGACAGTTAAGCACATGCTTTTCTTACAAAGTGTGACGAAGAATGCAGACAAGCTCAAGGACTCTACTGAGTCTAAGGTATGCACAATCTTTACAGTCTTAGTTTTGGCCTTTTGGGTTATGATATGTCTAAGATAGATAGTGATGATATAGCTTACCTGACGAGGGGGAATCTCAAAATATTTTACTTAATCTTCCATAGTTGGAAAATGTGCTTAATACAAAGTCTTCTTCAACCAGATACTTGGTAGTGAAAATGGCCCCCTTTGGAAAGACTACTTTGAAGGTGGGGCAACCTGGGCTTTCGATGTCGGCTCTCAGTCTATGACATGTCCAATCATTGTTGAGGATCTTGACCGACCTCGTCAGATGCTTGTGGAGGTAATGACTAGTCTACTACTTATTGTTTATTGTACTATGATGTTTCACCAGAGCACAAGTAATTGTGATGACTTGGTTCCCTCTGCAGATGCTTTGCGAGGACAGAGGAATCTTCTTGGAGATTGCTGATTTCATCAAAGGACTTGGATTGACTATCTTGAGGGGTGTGATGGAAATGCGCAAAAGTAAAATCTGGGCAAGATTTACTGTTGAGGTAATACAGCTAAATTGGATAATTAGGATTCTTTCAGTTCAAAATCTAAAGTAATGAACAGTAACCAGAATGGAAATCCAAAGTTATGAGATTATGCTGATGAATACTTTTTTTCTATGGATTTATGTTGCTGTTGATTTGTTGATTTCCTTACTGATTGAGGCTGTTTTGTGCAGGCGAACCGGGACGTAACCAGAATGGAAATCTTTCTATCGCTTGTGCGCTTACTGGAGCCAAATTGTGATGGCAGTGGAGTGGCAGAGAACGCTAACAACATGAACATGCCTCTTGGTTTGGTGCGCCAACCTGTCATCCCAGCAACAGGCCGCATCTAATGAGACTAGAGAGCAAACCCTCAAGCATCTTCCAAGCGCTAAGAGCAGGAGCTCAGCTAACTTCTGCCATGACTAGCATCACCAATATGCCAGTGCACCACCTGCTTTTCTGAGACATCTTAATCTGTGCAAATGTGGCATCCTTCATGAGACCAGATTGCAGAAATGGAAGAAGGAAAAGAAGGCCAGAGTGATCATTAGGCAGTGTTTTGTTTGTATGATCTTAGTTTGTTTGTTAGTTAGCCATGTTTGGTCATATATTAGTGGATTTTTTGTACTGTTATTCAGAATGGAAATTCTTGGGTTGGTATATTTCACACAACAAAAAAGATGGAATACCACCTTTGTTATAAGTCTCCTCACATCAGACTCAGTTAGCATGACTAGTGAAAAACTATCTGAGCTGAATGGTCTGCAAGTGCTTAATGGCTGCTGAACATATCAGGAGAAGGCACTATTATAGGACACTCCTTGGCAATCTTAACAGTCTTAGTCATCGTCCAGACCCAGCAATCTGCTGGTTCTGGTGCTTGTAGGCGCATCTTGCGCATGTAACTCTTCTCCTATCTTATTAATATAAGCCAGTAATCATCTCGGATCTTAAAAAAAAAACAACTATCTGAGCAGATTCTGTGTCATTGCTCTGATCAGGATATTGTGTTGTTAGGTGTTACTGCTGCTGCTGCCTGTCAACATTCAGAGGTAGATCATTTGATTCTACTGGAGCATAGTTATCCACAATGTCATCCAGCAGCACAAGGTGGTGGTGCCAATGAGTTGGAATGTGCTATGTTTACAGTAGTAAGCAAAACAAATATTGAATTACTGCAGATAATACTAGTTGGCCAACTTCTACCACATATACTTCCAAGTCCAGTTCCAATATACCCTTTCACATACTTTACTGTATACCCCCCAATCCCTATGATCTACATATAAAATCTTGTACAATGTTTGGGTATCAACTAGTTACCTATCATCCTATACCTATATACATCGCCCCCATGATATTTATCCCATCTTTACATTCCCAAAACCTATAGTCCAAGCTTAACTGCTTTATACATGCAAGCATATTTAGGCTTGAACAACCCTTTATTTCTATACAAGCTCTAAATTAATTAATCGATGGAGAGATTGATTAATTTGCGTGGACTGACGACTGCTATGCTACGTGTCCTACGAGCTAGGCCACGAAGTCCCTCATGAGCTGCGCCGCGAACGACTTGGTGCTCTGCATGTTCATGTCGTAGCCGCCGCCGGCGCCGCCGTGGCTGCCGCTGTCGGCGCCGGCCGTGGTGCTGCCCATGAGGAACGACGCGGTCTGCTCGGCGGCGCTGCCTCCGGCGCCGTGCGGGAGGCCGAGCGTCAGCGACACCCCGCCGTTCCCGGCGAACGCGAAGGCGGCGGGCTCCGTGGCGAACTGCCCGTACGGCCCCGGCGCGAACAGCGAGTACCCTCCGCCGCCGTCCTGGTGGTGGTGGTGGTGGTGGTCCCTCGCGCCAGCACCGCCGCCGCCGCTCTCCATGAACTTCATGAGCAGCTCCCGGTGGCTGACCTCCTCGTGCTGCTGCCTCGCGGCCGCCGCGGCCTGCGCGTGCAGCGCGGCCATGTCGTGCACGTGGTGGAACGCCGGCGCCGGCTCGTCCCCGCGCGCCTTCTTGAGCCTCCGCCCCATCGCTTCGTCGCCGTCGTCTTCATCATCATCGTAGAACCCCGCGTGAGACTGCTGGTGGTCGCCGCCTCCGCCGAGCTCGAGCAGGGAGGAGCCATGGATGCCCTTGTTGGTGGATGCGCTCTCCGCCGCCCCGCCGCCTCCCACGCGCACCGCGGACTTGGACATGGCGTCCGCCCTCGGCGTGACGCCGTCGACAGTGTCGCCGCTCTTAATCCCGCCGCCACCGGACTTCCCCTCGTCGTTGCCGCCGCCGCCGCCACCGTCCTGGTCCTTGGTCTCCTCCAGGTACATCTCCTCCACCATGGGCTTCCACAGCCGCACCCTCGCGTTGATGAACCAGTTCGACACCTAACAGGAATTAAAGAACAAGTTTTTAAAGCTAATTTACACAGTCAGTAAAACAGTGAAATTGATTAGCAGGAGAAGAAAGAAAGATTCACAGCTTTACCCACCTGACTCCTGGTGAGCCCGGTTTGCTTGGCGAGCATGATCTTGTCCGAATCCTTGGGGTATCTGCGTGACGACACAGGGACCCATGCGGACCAATTAGATGCGGACACGATGAGGTGAGAGGCTGCATGCATGGCGCCATGGGCACGAAAGCAAGCAAGCGAAGGGCCAAACAAAGAGCAATGGAGTAGCTAGTTCGAAGGGCTTGCATTGCAGGCCCTACGTGCCCACCAACCACCTCTCGTAGTCCGTCCAACAGGAGGGAGAGTACAAGGGCTCATGATGAGCTACCAAGCTGGCTACTGCAGTGAGGATGAGATGCATGATGAGATGGAACGGGAGAACTCACGGGTGCAGGAAGTGTTCGAAGAGCCAGGCGCGGAGGATTGAGACGGAGCGCTCGGGGAGGCCGCGCTGGTGCCGCCAGGCGCCACCCTGCATCATGCCGAGCTGCTGCAGCGCGCGCTGCTGCCGGAGCTGGTGGTCGATGTAGCGGAGGCGGGACATCACGGTGCGGCCCCCGGCGGCGACGGCGGCGTCCGCGTCCTCGCCCAGCGCCCGGCTCGCCGCGCGCACCTGCGACGCGATCGCGTCCCGCAGGCACCGGAACTGCCGCGAGATGGTGCGCAGCGCCAGCGCCGTGTACGTCCGCGCCGACCCGGCGCCCGCCGCCGCCTCGAACGACGACGACACCGCCTGCATCTGCCCGTGGTACTGCCGGTACCGCTGCTCCACCTGCCATTTGTCGTTGTCGACGACATCGATCGCGCCATGCGCACACAACAGTGTCAGTCAGTCATTGACCACTTCAATTCATTAATCAGGGCGTGCTACTGCTACTGCTAGCTAGCTACTGGCCTACTGCTGCTAGTAGGCTAGCTGATTAAGTAGCTAGTCAGTGATGATCCATCGAATCCAACCAACTGTTCGTCAACAAACTCTATCAATGCTGATCGGTGCAATCGCAATCGCAACCGCTACACAGCTCCTGATATGATATGTTTACTCATGCACGGAAATGATGTATATATAAAAGACACGGGGAAAAAATAAAGAGAGAGTGAATTTATGTTTTTCTTTTAATAAAGAAAATAAAAATTGGTATTTGGTAGTACTCGCATTTAGCTCGCATGCAGTACGGTGTACACTCATGATGCAGGCTATTGCAGACAAAAAGAGGCACACATTTGATGAAGCAACGAATTGAAGCTTATTTGTACTGGCATGGACAAAGTACAACCAAAAGAATGGAAGTAGTTGAGTTTAATTTATTTGCGCAATCATGCACGATCCAATCTTATCTCTTAAGGATTATTTTGTTTGCTGAAAGAGCTCCACTTGCCATATATTTCGTTGTACATATTGATAGTAGAGGATATGGTTTTCATTGCCACTTGTTATGTTATTAGTTAAATATGCTCATATATATACTCTATAACTTCTATATGGCACTTTGTCTTGGATTATATTGTTTTCATTCTCTTCCACACAAACACACACACAAAAAAAAATGTTATTGCTTTCATTTTACTATTAGAACCGAACCTCTTAGTTGTTACCCCATACGCTTAAAATGAAATTAAGACATTTCAAAAGGAAAAAAAAAAAGAACAGAACCTAAGTGGTGATAAGGTGTACTAATAAGAATATCTAACTATGTAAGCTGGGAATAATTAAACCACATAATAACTAGTGTTTTCTGCGAGGTGGAAATCACAGAATTAAGTAGGGGAACAATAATTGGTATTGATACTACTACAGCAAGTTGATACAGCATGCATGCTTGATTAAGAGAAGGATTTTAAAGTGGGAGAAAAGTCTGATGATATATGTCCATCAAATTAAAATTAAAGCTATGCACTGTTCCAACAACTTGTGTCACTCATCTTTCAGAAAAAGAAACAGCATAACAAAGATTACCGAAAGGCAAATGGTTCCTAGCCTTTTAATGCATAACACTGTGACACTGTCTTAGACTGTAGAAGCAAGCAAACAGCAAAAGCATGACAAAATATCTCTCCCTGTCAAATTTGAGGCAGCATAACAAAAAACTTTCATGAAAAATCAAGGACCCTCAAGGCCTCATCAACAGCAATTAAAAACAGGTTTTCTAAAAATATCTTATTTTTGAACACGATCGAGAGAAAGACATCAAATGGAAAATAACTTGTGAAATTAATCTTAGTAAAGTAGTATGAATTGAAGCCATAAACTGTGCTATTTACATATACTACTGACCTCGTCAAGCATGTTGATAAGCTTGCTCTTCTTCATCTGCAGCTCCTGCCGCTCCGCGGTGGACATCTCCGCCGCGCCGCCACCGCTCTTTGCGCCGGAACCGTCATCGGTGCCGCCACCGGACACGCCCTCCGAGTCCTCCTTCTTCTTCACCGCCGCCAGGCTCTTGGTCGTCTTGTTGGCGTCCTCGACGCCCTTGCTGACGCTCACCACCTCGTCGAGCAGCTCCTGCGCGGCCTTGAGGTACTTGGAGCTCATCACCATCTGCCCCTGCGACGTGGCCGACACGCCCAGGTGGTACTTGCCATCGTCGGTGCAGCCGGGGCCGGCCACCGTGACCGGCTGCGGCGCTGCCTCGCGGGACGACAGGCTGAGCACGGCGCTGACCCCAGCCGCTGCGGCGCCGGGAGTCTGCGCCTGCGGCGGCGGCGACGACATGTCCGCGGCCGTGGCCGCCGGGGTCCACGGGTTGTAGCTCGACGGCGGCGCCTGGATCGGGATCCCGACGAAGTGCTGCTGCTGCGCGGCCGACGACGGAGACTGCTGCTGGTGGTGGTGGTGCGCGAAGGACGCCGGCGTCATGGTGGTCACCGCCGAGTTGAGGAGCATCATGTTGGTCGCCCCCGGCGCGGAC